TTAACGACAACAACAGTAACAGTGATAATAATAATGACAACAGTAGTAATAGTAGTATTTAGCATTAGTAACGATGGTTATACGATCAGTAAGAGCAATAATAAAAGTAACAATGGATATGCTAATAATAACGGCAGTAACAATAATAAACTCGAAATTTTCTTTGTTAGCAATTTTTTATTCCACTAATAAACGACCACTCTGTTATTTTTCTAGTGAACCTATGTAAACTGAGCAAATTATCAGGTGACTGAAGATTCTCTTTTTGTTGTTTTGGTAAAATAAACAGTAGCAAGCTAAACAGTTGCTTATTTGCTGTTTAGTTACTGTTATGTGATTTTGGATTTCTGATGTGTTGCTTCTTTCTGTTGTGGAGAGGGGTCTTAAGGAGATTCAGGTCTAGAAACGAATCAAGTCATTTTTTCGGTTTTTTTTATATAGTGTTGATTGAAAAATAACGTGTAGGATTTGAAGGAGCACTGTCAGAGGTTAGAAGATGAAATCCGAGATTTGAAGTTGGACAATATCGTAAAAGAGGCAAAAATTCGGAACTGGCGCGCTATCGAAAGGAATTCTTTTTCTTCTCATGTAGAAAACTTAAAAGAATTGCAGAATGGTGTATCTCGACCTTCCGCAGGTATTCATTTTAAATTTGTAATGAATTAGCAGAAATCGCGTATGACTATAAGTTTTTTCACCGTTTTTTAGTTTTAGTGAACTTTAAATATTCGTAGCTTTCATTTTTTTTTTATTCTGGGCAGCTAGAGCATATTGATTAGACGGTATCTAACGTATTGGAAGTCACGGGGCTGATGAAAACTCAGTTGTTTTTGAGCACTTCATTTTTCACTTAGATTTACTTGTAGTTAAAATACCGAAAATGAATGGTAGTGTGGAAGTTAGTATGAATGGAACCGCGTGTAGCCCGTTATCATCACCTCTTGCGCGGAACATTTCACCAGTCATAGCAAACTTGTTAAAGACTGTCCAGGTGGAATTTGTTGCAAAACTTTTTATAAATTTAGGTGTTGCTTGTAATTTGTGATTCCTTTTTAGAAAGCAGTCTTTTTGCAGCCTTCTTAAAAAATGAATGTTTGTTGATTTAGCGCTTTTGTTTGCCTATTATACCATGTTTTAGTCATGGTACGAAAAATATGTAAACTTTCTTTTTATTTTTATGACAGTGATTCTTTCAGGGGCTAGAAAAAAAATTGCTATCAATGCATCCTGAAAGGAACTCGTCGTGTGACACTTGTATATCACCGATAAGCCGTCGTTAATGAATGTTTTATTAAAGTAAGCTTCATTGTCAGGAAACAAGAAGTTTTATTTTAAACTTCTTGCTAAGAGATTAATGCACAAACTTTAAGCGTATCTGGTTACTTCTATAAGCCTGACCTACATTATTTTTTTTGTTGGCATAATTTTAGAAAAGTTTCTGCTCTTTTACCGCTTGCTATGAATTGGTGCTGTAGAAATTATTTATTAATATACGTGAAGGTACCAGAAGCGGGAGCTTACTCATTGCTCAAAAAATGATTTTTCAGTTTTTTTTTGATGTGGGATTATGTGCAACATTCATTCTTTTGTTTAGTAGACTCTGCTTCCTACTAACAAACTTCAGTTATATACATAATTTAAGTTTTTCTGATTTAGAGCTTGTAGGAGGATCTTTTTGAATATACATTTCATGGACCTACCGTACTAATGAATGTCAACTCTGCTTACTGTAGAGAGAGAGAGAGAGAACTGGTTACTTAATTGACAATGATTTTAAAGGTCTATGCGTTGCGTGGGTTGCTCGGAGTAGCGTTTTATCAAATCTGCAATATATGTGGTTTTTCTTGCATTAGGGTTTTTGAAGGTATTGTTCGTACTTAGCCTTGCTGGTGTCTGTTGTTTAATGCAACATTTTTATAACCTCTGGTCATCACCACCGCCCTACTTATCGGTAAAGTTTTTGAGCTCTTTTGTTAATTGTTCAAGCCAGGCGTTAAATTTTTTAATTTTCTGCCAGTTTTTTTTGGCTTAATTTATTATTGCCATCTTCAGCAAGACGGGGGTTAAAATTCTCACTTATTGGAGATCTTTAAGTTGATGCTGGTGTTAGTAGCGATCGTATTGAGTGTGCCAGGCTGTGCTGTGGACCGCTCAAGATTTGCAGTTTGCTATAAGAAAGAAGCTGAAGATGGGTTCTTCTTGTTCTTCATTTTTTGTTGCGTCAGTTCGATTTTTTCTAAAGTCTGCTGTCTACTCTTTTGCTGCCTGTTGCTGAAAATTTTTTTCAAGCTTTACCTTGTCGTTTAAAGGTACGCTAAGTGAGGAGTTATTAAATTGGTTGGGGTTCTTAATTTTGTTTGCGGGAAGTGAATTATAGCGTAGCGCAGTTAATTTGAGGAGGTAATGACCATTTCAGAAAGGGTGTGGTTTTTTAGCGGTAAATGTATTAGTTTGGTGAAAATTTCATCCTGTTGTTGAAGATTAGTAGCACCCTTAAATTGGATATCATTCTAAACTAAATTATTTCTCTGTGTTTGACTTCATATTTACTCGATTGTACGGAATGATGGTAGGATGTGTGTGATATGTTAAGACCCGTCATGGCTAAGTGCTGGATGTCTAGGGCTTATTGGATTAAATGAAATGTTTTGTGATGTAGTCTTCAAGGGGGAGATTAGAGTTGAAAAGCTGCTTGCAGGTGACCGGGAGAATAAAGAGGACAGTTGAGTCCGGTTAAATGAGAGGTTTTAGCTGTCAAAATATTTTAAGTTAAGGATTTTTAAGAAGGTGGTTGTCATCACGTTTTTATCGCCTGTGTGTACATTTCTTGAGAACTATATTACGAGGCCCTGGGGGGAAG